TGTAAAGGTGTTGGGGCCGACCAACCCTTAGGAGCTCAGGACACTTGTTGTCAAGGCCGCTCCGTAGTAGGACATAGGGATATCCTGAGGTTTAAGGGCTTCAGAGTGAGGAATCAGTTGAGTGGATGAGATAGGTATAAGTGGTTGGTCGTATTAGGCGAGCAAGATATAATTTATAAAACCGAAGCGAGTAGAATAAAGTATGTAAAGCAAAGCAGACAACGCGAAGTGAAGCGAAGCAGACAAAGCAAGCAGACAAAGCAAAGCAGACGGAGTTCGATATCTCTTCTCCTATCAGCCATGACCCCTCTCTCTTATATCCCTCTATCTCCTTCCCCCTTGGCACCCCTGTCCCAATCGTCTCCTGGCCCCATCCTTTTGTCATAGCTAGACTCGAACTTGTCCTCGAGCTAGATTTCGAGTTCATCCTCGAACTAGGCTCGAGCTTGTCCTCAAGCCATGCTGGGCTGAGCTGAGCTGAGCTGAGTCATGCCAGTTGAGTTGAGCTTGCACTGTCGGTCAGCTCCATTGGTGCCTGGTCGCCTGACGGTTGCCTGGATTGGATTGTACCGCGTACCCCAGTACAATTCCTCCCCAACCTTCCGTGAGCCTAACCCTAGGCTCATCATGCTTCGTGCCATGTTCTTCCTCATGATGAGTGAGGTAAGATTGCTCATAGAGTTCTTGCATCATTCTTCATATTGTCAGGCCTTACCATTGATCCGCCTTCCAACCAATCAGAGTCAAGTATGATTTCGCCGCGCTCGCGGCGAAATCGAAAAAGGAATAGCGTCATTCACCTAAACACCAATCAAAATCGAATATTCCTGACCAATCAGAATCGAGAATGATTTCGCCGCGCTCGCGTCGAAATCGAAAGAGGAATAGCGCCATTTGGCCACCACTTCCTCCTCTACCAACGTGCCCCGTTGACACCAAACACATAATCATATTCCTGATAGTGTGAGCGATCGAAGCCTTGTGGTAGCTGGATGTCAACCTCAGTGAACCATCGTCTCTGATCTTCTAACTGTCGCTGACGTAACTGATATCGCGTTTGAGGTGCGTTCCTTCCGTTGTCTCCAGCTGGCACCCTTGACCCAGATGGATCGTCCTCACTATCAGCCTCATAGCCCTCAACCTCGTTGTTTTCCGATGATGACACTGAGGCTTCGTTGCTAGTGCCCGTTTCTGCTGACCTTTTCGGAGGCAAAAATCTCTTTAACCTGTCACCTCGAATCGGTGTCCGGATGGCGGTCCCATCAAGTTCTTCCAAGATATAGGTTCCAGTAGGTTCATCAGTCCCAGCCGTTCGAAGCACAGACCTAATGCGATATGGACCCAACCATATAAAGGCGAGCTTGTTTCCGAAATCTTTAGCCACCCTCGTGTTATGCAGCAGAACAAGGTCTCCTTCCTCTAGCGGTCCCGCCCTCATATTTTTGCGGCGGTCATCCTCCCATCGCTCGTTCGCGTTCTGTCGCACTCTCTCTACTCGGGCAATCGCTTCCTCGACATCTTCGTCTCGCCTGTCGATCTGTCTGGCTCGCAGCTCGAGCAAGTCGGCAGTGGTTCGTACATCCTGCCATGGCAGAGTTTGCCATGTACGATGTTCCAACTCAATCGGTAGTACATGTTCCTCCCCTAGCTGTACCCGAGCCGGTGTCATGCCAGTGAGCTCTTTCACGGTGGTTCGATCAGCCCAGAGGACAGAATGCAGGTAACGCTTCCACGGTAGCCTCCCGCCATCCGTCACTTTCATAAGTGCTTGGATAAGCGTCTTGTGTTTGACCTCTATGCTTCCTGCCACATGTGAGTTATAGGGCGATATCTGGACCTTCCTGATTTTGTAGAGTATCAGGAGAGCTTCGGTCCATAGCTTGTTCTCAGCGCCACCATCACATCCAAGCTGCTCGAGGCACCCCCAGCGACAAAGTACGTCCTCCCATAAGAACCTCGCTACCTGTCTAGAGCTTGGGCTTCCATCCAGGATCCTGGCCTCAGGCCACCCGGACAGCTCCTCTCTAGCTTGCACTATCCAGACTCCGCCCTTGATACTGGTACAGTCCACTGCCCATCTCTGCCCGAGGGCGTGGCCGACTCTGGCAATGAGGGGTTCCCACTGTCGACGCCCGTCACTCTGCTGACATTCCCTGCAGGTCCTCACATGTTGCTTGACATCTCAGTATAGGCTCTCCCACCAGTATCGCATGACGATTATCCGGTATGTCGCCTCTCGACCTTTGTGCCCATGCTCATTATAGAGGCGCTCTATAATCTCCTGTTGCTCTTCTGGGTCATCGACCACTCGCTTATCTGGTTGTCCGATACGCCCTCTCCGAAATAAAGCTTCGCCTACTACCCGGTACTTCACAGCCATCCTTCTGAGACGTCTAAACTCAGGCTGCGTGAGGCCCTGGGGCTTTTGCGCAGTCAGAAGATACTCGAGGATCAGCTGATGTTCCTTGCTGTACTGTCGCGCGGCTTCTGACTCCTCTTCCGCACTTGAGGAACCATCAGAACCATTACTTGTGGCATTCATGTTGGCTACAAGTAGCGCCGATCCAGGGATTGTGAAGTGAGGGCCTGGGATATATAGTGCTCCGAGAGCCCAGTCCAGCCATACCTCCTCATCTGGGTCTTCTGGCGGCAGGTCTTCCTTTCTCAGATTATTATATCGTCGTGACAGGCCATCAGCTGCAGCGTTCTTCGTCCCTTTCACATGCCGAACCTCAAAATCCCAGAAGGAAAGCCAGGCCAGCCATCTCGTGACCAGTGCTCCAGCGACATCAGAGGCAGGACGGTTGAGTTGCGCGACCAGCGTGTTGGCATCAGTTTCCACCACAAACTTCACCCTGTACAGGTAAAGCTTGAACTTCTTTAAAACCTTCATCAGGGCGCGACACTCCAGCTTCACTGCATCCCACTTCCTCTCAGAGGCTGACTATATACCACTCTCATAGCGAGCGACGGTTCGTCGTCCGTCAGGATGCACCTGACCTAGCGTTCCTCCGTAGCCATCACCACTCACATCAACATTAACTATGATCTCACCGGCACCTTCGCTGTAGTCAATAGGCCGTAGTGCTGGGGCTTCAGTTAACGCTTCCTGCAGGGTCCTCATTGCCTGCCTCTGCTCAGGTCCCTAAAGGAATCGCTGTCCTCGCCGAAACAATAAGAATATTGGTTTGGCGATCGTGGCGAAGTCTTTGATCCATACACGGTAGTACACGCAGACACCAATAAAAGCACGAGCGCCTTTCTGTGTGGTTGGTTCGGGCCAGTTGAGTATGACTTCCTTCTTTGCATGATCCGGATGCCGTCCATCCATGTCACAATAGTATCCGACAATCGTGACGCCATCTGCACCGATCTCTAGCTTTTTGCCAGAGACAGTAGCCCCTGCGCATTCCACAGCCAGTAGCATCTCACTGACTTGCTTCAGGTGTTCCAAAACGTACCGACGCACGCCTGGTCTTACTTCCTCGCCCCCATATGTCGTTCGTGGACCTCCGCAAACTCCGTCGTCAACATACACACCAGTATGATGCCGTACTGGTGACATAATTGACTGGGTAGCTCGGCAGAATTGCGCGACTGAGTTGGTTGCCCCTTGCGGCAGGGTTGTCTGCCTCAGCAGTCCTAGCTCAGTTTGGAATGAGGTCAAGTCCCTGCTTTCTTCAGCAAGACCCAGCTGATCGTACCCCGAGAAGAAGTCGGCCACTGTCACTAGCGCGCATCCGGCATACCGCTCCGAAAACTCGTCCGCAGAAGGAGGTACAAAGGCATCCCTGATCGTCACTTTGTTGATATGTGTGGCGGAATTGATCAGTCGATACTTCCCATCCTTCTTCTTAACCAGGAAGAAAGGATTCCTGTATGGTGCGTGGCTCCTTTCCAGTCGTCCCGAGGCAACTCTGTCTTGCAGCATCTCAATCACCGTCTGATTGAGTGCTCGAGGGATATGGAAGGGCTTAGCCTGCCATGGCTCATGCGGGATAGTTCGTATTATCTGAGGCGGTGCAACCTCTGGTCTTATCCGCCCTATCTCAGAGAAATCCCAGCTGAGGGATGCCTCCCTCCGAAACAGCATTTCTTCAACCAGCCTCCTTTCTTCAGGTGAGAAGCTAGGGTTGATTCGCATCTCTCTCAGCCGCTCAGCCGTGAGCCTCGTTCCTCGAGGGAACCTTGCCGTCCGGGACTCAAACCACTCATCCATCTCTGATGGCTGCTCAGGTAGAGCCCGTCGCTGCTGTTCTGGTAATAGCTCAGCAAACCAGTTCAAGCTCCCCCCTGGAACCGAGCCATCCTGCAAAGGTGCCGCAGCTGGGGTGACCTTGTCCGCCTTTCTCTTATACAAGGTCATGACCTGCAGCTCTCTGCTCTTCTTCGCCAGCCACCGCTTCTCTCCCAAGCGCTTTACTTCTTTCCTCTCAGCCCTCTTTTGCCGCCTTACCTCACCCATCATCGTCCTCAAGTCCGTCAGTGCTGTTGTTTGCACCCAATAGTCATCATCCCCGCCTTCCAGCCACTGTCTGGCATACGGGCGGAAACGCAGCTGGCTAACGAAACAGGGTTCCGGACTCATTAAGGCGGCATTGCCTCCGGATAGCAAGCCGCCTACTCGTTTCCCGCTATCTCTTCCATTTCCTCACTGTCTTCGGCAGGGCTTCTCATAGCAGGATATTCTGTGATAGCCTTAGCTGCTACCCATCTCACGCTCTTACTGCCATCCGGAGCATGTGCCCTACAGATGCAGCTCCCATCTCCCATATGATGCGTCTCGAGCTGCGCTATAGATATCCAGTCATTTCCCAGGATGATCCCTAGACTCAGGTTTCTGAAGACTGCGAAAATTACCGGATCATAGCTGATTTCTGACCCAACCAGGTGCAGTCGGGTTGCTACCCACCCAACACAATGCATCTTGCCCTGGTTTGCTGCCCTCATGTCCTGCAAGGTCAGCATTCCAGGCGAAATCTGATTGAGCACCAACCCATTCTCATGCGCGAATTCTTCACTCATGCAATTTGTACTCGCGCCGGTATCAATCAACGCCTTCACTTCCTGCCTTGAAGATCCAGCCCGTATGAGCACCATGGGCAAGGGTGACGCAATCCGTTGACGGTTATTTAGCCTGTCCTGCTGGGCAATATAATCACTGGTAAGTTCCCTCACAGCAAGGTCACCGCCATATAGAGCCCCAATCACCATCTCTTCTTGCTTTATTCCTGCCGTTCTCGATTTCTGCTTCCCCTGATTTTCCAGGCGCACTCTACGAGCTTCCTTCGCCGCAGCTAATTGGTCCTGTACCTCATTTGCGATCGATGGAGGTAGTGAGCGATACATGGCGCTGCGTATCTCAGGCATTAGCTGAAGGGATTCCATCATTGATACCTGCACAGTGCTGTTCATCAGGCGTTCCAGGAAGTTCACCACAGTCTGCTCGTGTGGGACCTCTTTCAAGTACTTTTGCAGTGTTGGCTTTCCTTTCACCTCTGCAGCTGGTGCGACCAGACATGGTTCTTCTTCCTCGTCCTGAATCTCGCATATCCGGCCGCTTCGCACAGTTTTGACTGTCGCTCTCATAGGCTGGCTATCCGGAGTGACTGCATTGGCCACTGTTGCGCGTGCCACACGGTCATATTCCATGAAGTATCCCTCTTCACCTACATTACCCATGACCTGGACACTGTTTGTCGCGGCTGTAGGCCGTTTTTCCATCAATTCGTCAATCTGCTGACGCTGGGTCTTCCCACACTGGCTGAACCTGGCTAACGGAATTGTGTCCCCACCGCTGCCAATGGCACCCCAACGAAAGGCCTTAATATCTTTATCCCAGTGGATCTGTCTGCTATCCATCAGGGGTTGCAGGAGAGGACATCCAGTTGCATGCCTATGTGGCTGATTGTCGTTTGCGCAGCACCATAGTTCCTGGAGTCGACTGGTCTGTCCCGCAGGTGCCATATTGCGGATATGCCCTACAGACGATATGGGTTCCCGAGCCTGTTGATTCGCGTACATTCCTTGGGTGGTCGTAGGGAACAGGCTTTCGACATAGGAGATGATATGACCCATCTGAGTACTGTTCTGTTTTCCACTCTTCAGTACCGGATCCTCACACACTGCTATCCGCTGCTTTAGACTCTCAACTGTTGTCGCTCCAATACGAAGGTTGTTGATGCACTGTTTCAAATCTTTATCCAGCTTAGTAGGGTCAGCATTCCGCCGTGTAACACCTGGGTACTGCTTCTTCAGTATTGCTTTAGGATCTCCTCCAATGGGGCCCTCTTTCTCGACTTGCCATCCGTACTGCATGCTCTGTGCGACTTGCTTCCCCGCAATCAGCACAGATGCAAAATCAGGCAAGGCCCTACGTTTTTCTCCTGCTGGTGTTGGCAAGTCACCAATCGCATCCAAGATTTGGTCCCTTCTATTCTCGGAGAATCCTTTAAGGAAAATTTGGATCAATTGATGGCTCCCGATTCGCCCTTCATGAATCATTCGCAGCCCAACCTGCTTGAACTCGCCCACATAAGCCAGAGGGGTCATAATCCTTTCTTCTCGCATACTTTGAGCCAGGATAGTTAAGTAACCCACACTCATTTTCATCATCCTACTATCTGAGTCACTGAATTCATCTAGCAGGTGCCTTTTAAATGTTTCCCAGCTACCAGTCTCGTAACCATCCAGCAGTCGAAGCCGAGAGCGAACGTCTTTCTTGGAATTCGCGACAACTTCCTTGCACCAGTCCCGCTTCTGGACTTCCTCGCGCTCAAGGTCTAGTTCAAACTCTTCTAGCCAGTCACTGGCATCGAGGCCGTCGAACCAACTGCTTTCCTTCCGCAGCACCCGTCGCTTGGGTCCTTGGTGGAGCTTGGTCAAAGCTTGGAGTAGGTTAGCCAGTTCTGGGCTCATTCTTTGCGTATTCTCTTGAGGGTGAGTTGTCCCTCCAGAAGGGGCCTCATTAGAAGGCGGCACGACGGGCGGAGAAGGGGCCTGGTTCTGTCCATGCATATCTGCTGTAGGCGACATCTCGTGGGTTGTGATGAGCTCCGTGGCCAAGTTGGATAGATGATGATAGATAATATCTGAAACTTTTCCAAACGTCAACTTTTTGTTCTGCTGTTTCTGCTGTCCATTCCAGGCCATCAGAGAGAGCCCAAATATATAGATCATGACCTTGAGTTCCTTCAAGATGTTTAGCCCTGTCAGAATCAGTAAAAGCATCCAGAACGCCCCTATCACATTAGTTTGATTAAATGCTGAGCTCCTGTAATCAAACCGTTGATGGCAATATTGACATGGCTTCCTTATCTCTTCCTCCTGCCCAATCGGCACTGATCCCTTTACCTTTGCGACCTGTCGCATTCTTATCCTATTGATCCTTCCGCTCGGATAGGAACATCTCCTTAAGCCACCACCCATCCCGCTCAGGAGAAGCCAGCCCTCTTACCTAGCAGGAATCTCCCTACGTAGGATGGTACAGCCTCACTTCGGGCGCCAATTGTAAAGGTGTTGGGGCCGACCAACCCTTAGGAGCTCAGGACACTTGTTGTCAAGGCCGCTCCGTAGTAGGACATAGGGATATCCTGAGGTTTAAGGGCTTCAGAGTGAGGAATCAGTTGAGTGGATGAGATAGGTATAAGTGGTTGGTCGTATTAGGCGAGCAAGATATAATTTATAAAACCGAAGCGAGTAGAATAAAGTATGTAAAGCAAAGCAGACAACGCGAAGTGAAGCGAAGCAGACAAAGCAAGCAGACAAAGCAAAGCAGACGGAGTTCGATATCTCTTCTCCTATCAGCCATGACCCCTCTCTCTTATATCCCTCTATCTCCTTCCCCCTTGGCACCCCTGTCCCAATCGTCTCCTGGCCCCATCCTTTTGTCATAGCTAGACTCGAACTTGTCCTCGAGCTAGATTTCGAGTTCATCCTCGAACTAGGCTCGAGCTTGTCCTCAAGCCATGCTGGGCTGAGCTGAGCTGAGCTGAGTCATGCCAGTTGAGTTGAGCTTGCACTGTCGGTCAGCTCCATTGGTGCCTGGTCGCCTGACGGTTGCCTGGATTGGATTGTACCGCGTACCCCAGTACAGTAGTTGGTCGGGGCTAGAAGACTTAATATATAAGGGTTTGATGAGGTCAGTTAGGGTTAGATGGTTTTATACTATGGGTGGGGTCGTTCAATTCATAGCTAATATGTATATAGGGCTAATAATGAATGATATTTACTATGAAATATACTATATATTTGTTTAGTTGATTGTATATATTCAATGTACTGACGAGAAGAGCAGATTATAATGCGTATGCTAGGGGTGGGTTCAGGTACTTGTATCAAACAGCAGGATATATTAAACTTAGTAGCGAATATTTAGGCGAGGCAAGATCAGAATATGTAAGT